TTAGCGTCTCTTAGCAAAGACAATGACGTCGACTTTGCTAAGTATCAAGACAATTACTCTACACACACACACACACACTACACCTCAAATTGTAAGATTGGCGAATGGATTTAGTATCCGCAGTCATTTAAACACAAACAAACAACAACAACAACAACAAGATGTATAATCTTTGATAACTATAAGTAATTTAAAGGGTTTTTACCCATGTATTTTTGGTGGCTCAGGCATTTTAACCTAGTAAGTATAGCCATTTTGCTTTTTTAACCATAGTCAAAATTTCATAATCACGTTTGTTTTAACTAAATGGTTTGTACTTATTTTAGGCAGATTTTAAACCTGATGATGGACTGTTTAGTCCGAAAACGTTTGTTTTTTTGATGTAGCCCTTTTAAGGGTTTTTAAATAAATATACCCACTTACAAAGACTAACCTCTTTTTAATTTATGTTGTGTCATTTTCTAATATTTTAATTTTGAACGTCAACAACTACATGTTATATGTCCCAAAAAGCTGCAATCCACATCGTACCACAAACCATTGTTTTGTTAAAATAAATCATATTGCCGCAACCTCAATCAACTTTCATCTGATGATGCCAATGAAAATTGGCGAAATATAATGAACTGTTAAACAGAGTACACTTGGCTTTTAATCAGCTGTATACCCAATTAACCTCAACTCAATTTATATATATATATAATATATATATATATATATATATATATATAAATATATATATATATATATATATATTATATATATATATATATATTATATATATATAATGGCTATACACCCCGGTGTGAGGTTAAACCGCAAATGCTTTCTAGATCCTATTTCTTAAGTGGATCAGTCTTTTTTGTTTATCTTATCTTCTTGACAATATCTCTCCAATTTATTATATAGATAAATAAAATTTACTTACGCAAAATGTCCATCTTCTCGACCCAACTCTGACAGACCAAATATTAAAAAATCACACTTAGTCTACGAATGTTACAAATGCACTGATTAGTGGTTAGTATGGTGTATTGGTCTGTGTTTGGGCGTGTTTTGTGATACTTTATGGTATCACTGAGCGCTAATGGGTTAATAAAAAATTATACATTTTTAACGTACACCAAAAATCTATGATCAATTTCGACATTCACCGGTGAATGTTAGAAAATATAATATTTAACCAATAATTCGAACATACGCCAAGCAACTTGGTGAATTCTGACATTCACTGGTGCATTTTAAAATTCATTGAATTTCAAGCTCTCACACTAACATATACATGGTGGTTATACAAAGTTGAATAAAAACAGCACATCCCAACTTTATAGAAATAAAAGGATCCTTTGTAGTTGAGATTTTACATTAGCCCTAAATATATTATTACTACATGTTACGGATTTGAATCGTAGATGCTTAATTGTGAGGCTGTAAGACGTGCCTATAGAGGCCTGTAAAGGATGAAGAAGGAAAAACTTATCCTAAAGTCAAAATAGAAATTAGGAGTGTGGGGAGATAGCGAATATCTTGGTCATAAAACGTAAAAGAATTATATGGTTGCAGCTCAAAACACTCTTTAGTTTACTACAAGCAGTAATAAGTTTGTTTTCTCATATTCTTCACTATGCGGGTTTTTTATATACCTAAGAGTAATTCTTGTTCACCAAAAGAAGTTGGCATTTCTTTAGCAAAACTATAAGCAATTTCAATAATAGTAATTTGTTTATGCCTTGGCATTTACAGCAAAGTTACTTCAGGGTTTAGATATGACATGTTCAAATCCAAAAACAGAAGTCGGTATACCAAAAGTAGCAGTAATGTTACCCCTACAGTACACCATATGCATAGCTTAGTTGACTTTCTAATTACTCTAAGAATAGTACTGAGCATATTTGGAGATGACATTACTATAGATACAAGAAGTTTAAGACCACCTTGCTACATGAAGACTGCAGATTGCACTTAATTAATTAGAATAATGTTACATCCAATGCAAGATAGCCATCAATTTCGAGATGATTTAAGCTGTAATGTTCAAGAAAAGAACACAAGACCCAAATGATCAAACCAAAATTTCGATACTAAAATAAAATGGCTAAATGAAGTATTCAAGAGTGGTACTTAACAAGGGACTGACGTTTACTTCACATAACCACTTCACAAAACACAATAAATGAGATAAAATAATCCAGAATAAACAGAAAGTTTTTAGGATCTCTTGGGTTCTAGAGTTGATAACTTGGAGGGTGAAAATCCTCTTATAGACTTTAACCTTTCGATAATTTAAGATGTTATGGATTTTACTGAAGGTGAATGGCCAGGTTTTTAGTTTGCTCTACGTAGTATACGATATTCGGTGATCATAATTTTTTTGTTTTGGAGAGACGCTCAAGAGCCAGCATGTGGTTGATTTGTACTGCATAACGGGTCGAATTTAGGTTTTGTAACTTTTTTGTTTTATAAATTTTGTCCTCCAAAACTCGTGCTCTGTTTCTGATCCTATCTGAAGTAGAGTTTAAATCATCATCAGAGCTGAGAATCCTGATGAACAAGACTTCCAGTTAAGTTGCTGCTTGCTTGAAAGAGAGCCTTTTTCTAATTACTTAAGCTCCTAAGCAAGGCTGTATTAACAGTGTAGAGCAGACATTAGGTAAATTTTAAAGGAAGCCTGATGTCAATCAGCTTCCTGATCAGATCATAGGCGTCGTGACAGACTTGATCGTAAGTCTTTCGAACATCAAGGAACGTGGCTGTAGTGATGTTATTGTTATCTATTGACTGTGGACTTAAGCATGACTTATGTAGTAGTAATAAATGTACAGTAATGTTTTTGGTAAGAGACAAGATAATCTCTGAAAATTGTTTTAAACATCTACCAGTTTTGTCATCAGGTATGAGAGAATTATTTGTACGTATGCGGTAATAATAGTATTTACTGTTTTCCTGTCGTGTATAAGATCCATGATGGCCTCATGATCTGGTGGATTGAGCTATAAGGGAGTATTTTAGACGATATATTCTGTGCTGAGTTTAAATATGTGATCAAAGTTTGTTGTGTGAATCAAAGGGGTCTGAGGGGTTTTGAACTTGTTTTGAAGCAAAGTTTTCAGGGCTTCTAGCATAGAGTCGGTTGTATTTTGTTTTGATATTGGGATTTCGGTTAATCTTGTACTAACGTAAGAGCGATCTTTTTTGTTTTAATAATTTGAATGTAAGCGCTGGCAAGGATGTATCGAGGGAGTGCCGAAAAGAAATAGTTTATTTGCTAATTTGGAATGGATGGATTAATAATGGATAAAATGGTTTAATTTAAATTGCACTTATGTCAATATTTTTAAATGTATTAAGTTGGCCTAACAAGATTTTCGGAGATATAGTTTTTGTATAGTTTCCAATCAGAGTGTCAATAATCTTTTATTGTAATGGAGGTTGGAGTTTTAGGATATAGTATGTTTAAAATGACCAAAATTGAAAGGTGATCAGATGTTATCGAACCGCCTATGTGGCATCTGTGCTCGAATATGTCCAGTATAGAAACTAGGATTTGATCCGGAATGGATGCCCGATTAGCAAATAAAAACGTATAGTAACCGTTGGCAATTCTGGAAATAGACATATCTAATAGTATTTCTAAAAGTTGTGTTCTTCTTGATTTGTTCTGTAATCACCGAATTATTGGGTATTTCTACAGTTTAAACCGCTCATTAAGATTGCTTTGTTTAGAGCAGATAAAAACTCTAAGAGACGGACACAAAGGGGGCGATTCAGATGTCTGTAGTAAGATATTATTGTAAGGGTTTAATTGTTTCTACGGTGCAAATTAATTGTCAGCAAGTCCATATCGGGAAGTTAAAATGTAGAGAGTGTGGTATGGCCTATTCGACTAGAATACCGTTCCGTTTTAAAGAGCCCCTGGCAGTTTATTGCATCTTTGGCAAAATCTATAAAAAAGGGAATTTAGTAGGTGGGATAAGGGTTCAGTGTGAGCTTGTTGTTTTGGCTTGCTATACCACAGGTGCGGCCGAAATTTTTTTGTAGCAAACAGCTTGTGATGGTAGCCATTATATCCCTTTTTTAGGGGGAACGTTAAGAGTACTATGTTAATTAGAGCTATGCCATTTAATATACCTGTGGTCAGATCGAAACGTACCTCTTCACTAATTACCTGTCTTTTGGTGGAAAATTTGGCGGTTATGACAATAATTTGTCTATGTAAGTAGAATAAAACTTTCTCGATGCACTTTAGAAGTGTGACTAAGACTCGTCTGAGATCAGAGTATTAAACTGTAAGTACAAAGGTCTGTTTGCGAGTTACGAACCTTATGAAACAACCCGACTTAGTGGTGCCAGGCATTTTGATGGGAATATGGAATATCTAAACGCAGATCGCTAGCGCCCCAGCAATCTGACTTTTTGTAGCCGTTTATGCGCCAACAATACTCAATCCCAAAGATAATGTAATAATCTAAAACTAGATAAATAATAACGATTAAGTGTCGTCAGCTTTCGACTGAACTATCTATTTTTTTGGATGAGCGTTGCATCTGCCTTTTCAGCTTAAAAACTTACAAACGATTTGATGCCGCTACTCCAGAAGTGGCATATCAACAGTGGTCTTTCCACTTAGAAGCTTATTTCAATCTTCAGTATTAGTTATATCCGTTTAAAGAAAGAATTTACGGATCACTATCTAAATAAGATAAATCTAAAAATTATTTGATACCAATAAATATATTTTTCTGAATAACGATGGATATTTACCTAAACTGTTTGTATTTAATAACCATTTTATGATGTTAGAAACAGTTGAAGTATTAGGCCTTAGTTTTACATATTTAACAATATACCTACATTTAACTTTTTTGTAATATTTGTAGGTTAACGACACCTATAAGCGGTATATGGATGTAGTTACCAGAGATCCCCGAGTATATGAAACGGCGGGCGCACCTGGGGTACTGGAAACAATGCAATATTGTATTGAACTGCTAGAACAAATTAACGACGGCGTTACCGATTACCTTGAAAGAAAGCGATTATTTTTTCCAAGATTTTTTTTCTTGTCTAACGATGAAATGCTTGAAATTCTTTCCGAAACAAAAGATCCGCTTAGAGTACAACCACATCTTCGAAAATGCTTTGAAGCTATTAACAGATTACAATTTAACGATAAGTTGGAAATTTCTGCTATGTTCAGCCAAGAACTAGAAAAGATAAATTTAAAAAGTATTGTTGACACCAAAGAGGCAGGGGGTAGCGTAGAGAAATGGCTTGTTCTCGTTGAAGAACAGATGGTTATTTCCGTGCGGGATCAAATACTAAAGAGCTTTAAAAATTATATCCTTACGCCTAGAACACAGTGGGTTCAAAAATGGCCTGGTCAAGTTGTGCTGTGTGTATCTCAGATACATTGGACCCATAATGTACATCTAGCACTAAATCGGGATCAAGAAATGACTTTAAAACATTTTTTAGGTATTTGCCTTTTGATTAATTTTTAAGACAAACATTTAATCATTTGTTCTTTGTAGAGTCATTAAAAGATCAGCTCCAAGACATTGTTAATTTAATCAGAAGTGCTTCGTTAACGAATTTATCAAGAATTACCATTAAAGCTTTAATTGTTATTGATGTACATGCTAAGGATGTTGTGGAAGCATTATACAAGGACAATGTAGCTAACGATAGGGAATTTAACTGGTTATCTCAATTAAGATATTACTTAGAAGACGATGAAGCTCTTGTCAGACTTATTAATGCAACTGTTAAATACGCGTACGAGTATTTAGGTATGTATTTTGTTTTTTAAATGACAAATGTGAGTCCGTAATTTTAGTATATAGAAAATGAGTCAATCCTCACAATCTTAAGTAGTTTTTATTACTGGTAAATTTGGGCTACTGGTTTCAAAGCTTACAATATATGCCGCATCATTATAGTCTTTTTTTAGCAAAAACTACAAGCTAAAAACAACATGAAACAGACAACGAAAAACGAACTCAAAATAAAATAATAATAAATATTAACTAAAAATAAGCAAATACCTACAACATTATATGATATATGTTTACAAATATTGTTGAGTTTTTATTAATTCTAATTTATTTACTTTATTTCCCTTATCCTAATTCACTAAAACACAATAATTTATATCAATTTATTATACCACTTATTCGATACAACAATTTATTTTCGACTAACTGCTCTCTAAATTATATATATATATATATATATATATATATATATATATATATATATTATATATATATATATATATATATTTACATATATATATATATATATTATATATATATATATATATATATATATGTATATATATATATATATATATATATAGGAAAAATTTTATGGTCGGTATGGACCTTACGTGAGATGGAGTGAGAAACAGCTGTTTAAAAAGAGAGAGGTATATTAGGTACGCCCTTTATATCGCCGAATGGAAATATTAAAAAAGGGGAAATTCAACGTTGCCAAACTTATTGGATTTATTTCACCTGTTGTTTTTTTTTGCATTTGAACAATGTTCTAAGATAATCCAATTTGGGCGAAATTGATTTAAATGGCAGCTTACTCTTTTTTTTTTATTGGGAATATGCCACAAGTTTACTTTACAATAAGTGTAATATAAGATTTTGATTTCCACTTTGGAAATCGTTTTATATACCTAAATAAAATTTATTAATGTTTCGTATTTTAAGTACGATTTCCGAATTAAAAATCTAAACATCAAAATAAGCTTATTTTAAAGTCACATTGTGCCTTATTCCCAATATGAAATAATAAACTGCATACAATAACACCACATTAAAAAATATTCACACACAATAATTTATTTGGCAACGTCGTCCGTCTGGTCAGAATACCGAGTAACGGGTAGTAGAGGTGGGTCGTGGTAATTTTATCGTTAAGAGCGTAAGAGCGATTAATATTTTTTAAATGCATTCATTTTTTTCGAATCCTGATAAAACTAATAAATATTCTTGAAAAATTTAAACGCAGAATGAACCAATACATTATTACCGAGGGCCAAAAGTCCCTGAAAACTTCTATAATGTTTATTTTAATAAGTTATAAGGGCGAAAAAAAAAATTAGTGTGATTTTTAATTTCAAATATCTCATTCAAAAAACTTTTTGTTTATTCTAAGGGACTTTCGGCCCTCGGTAATAATGTAATCTTTTATTCTGCATTTAAATTTTTCAAAAATATTTGTTAGTTTTCTCAGGATTCCAAAAAAAATGAATGAATTTAAAAATTTAAATTTTTGTAAACAACTAACTATGATTGTTTAAAAGTAGTTTCAAGTAAGAGAGTACCTACATAAACAAACATAATGGCCAAAACATATGGCGTACCATAACAATCACTGAACTACCCTTCAAGTATTTTTGGCCACTCATTGTACTTGTTATTTCTTTAAACGGCCGTAAAATTTGGGAAAGCTGAGAACAAATAATCCAGTGTTTTTTATTTAGATTTGGTCTAAGTCTAAGTCTGTATTATTTAATACCGATGTGGAACGGAAATACACGCCAGTACACCGAAAATATCAAAATACAGAGAGGAGTCCGCCAGGGTTGCGTGCTGTCCCCACTACTTTTCAATGTCTACAGTGATCGGTATTTTAAGAAGCGCTCTCTGACTCAATAGAAGGTATATCTATCTATGAAGAAGTTTTGAATAACTTACGTTTTGCAGACGATACAGTAATAATTACGGATAACAACAATGATTTACAGAACCTAATGCAACGCCTTAATGAACGCTGTCATGAGTACGGACTGAAGATAAATTTAAAGAAAACTAAATGCATGATCATGACTAAATCTGCACAAATATCCAATTGACTATTGAAGATACTGCAATTAAGAGTGTTAATAACTATAAATACTTAGGAACATGGATAACATCAGATGTAGACCAAATCAAAGAAATTAAGACACGTATTGAAATAGCACGTACATCATTTATTAAACTTAAAAAGTTTCTTTGTTGTCGGGATATAAGGTTAGAACTACGCCTGAGAATGCTTCGATGTTACGTGTTCTCTACTCTTCTTTATGGTCTGAAAGCTTGGACACTAAAACAAGTTCATCTGAATAAGTTGGCCGCCTTTGAATTTTGGTGTTACAGAAGAATCCTACGAATATCATGGATTCAAAAAATGTCAAACATTGAAGTAACTAGAAGGATAGGAAATGAGGCAGAAATAATATTAACTATTAAAAGACGAAAACTTGAGTACTTGGGACATGTGATGAGAGGGCAAAAATACGCATTATTACAACTTATTATGCAGGGCAAAATCCGAGAAAAGCGAAATGTGGGAAGACGAAGAATATCCTGGCTTAAGAACTTAAGGGAATGGTTTGAATGAAGTAGTGCAGACCTTTTTAGAGCGGCAGTCAACAGAGTCGGCATAGCCATGATGATTTCCAACCTTCGATAGAAGATGGAACTTAAAGAAGAAGAAGTGAAACGGATTGCCTCTTCTAACTCAGTCATTCTTTTTAACCTGTAATAGGTGAAGTTCTACCTAGTTTTCACGTCTTGGATTGGCCGTTTGGGAACTTTGTTATGTTGTAATTAAGCCTTTCTGAAGATAAGGTACTTTTTTTAATGTTTTTTGCAGAATTGTCGAAAAAAGGACTTTTTTTTATCTATTATCAAATCAGTTTTGACATAACATTCCTGAAGTAATGAATCTAACAGTTTTTCTTGTTGGCGGTTTATATCCAGGAATCCACCCTGCAAACTTTTTAAAATCTGGTTCTTCACCTATAGAAAACGGATGAAACGAGTCTTTGCATAAGTTTAGTAAATCAATAAGTTTAGTCAAGAAAAAGAAACTGATAAAGATGACTTAAGTCCATTGTGTATTTTTGATGAATTAATTGGACATGACTCATCTAAACATACAACTGTATCGAGAGATATACAAGAAGTAGACATGTATTTGTCTAATAATATATTACCCACAATAAATTTCGAACGGAGATTGGAACTGTCCATTACCGTGGTGGAAAAACCATCGCCATGTATATCCTAACTTAGCCACTATATTCATAAAATATTGTAGAATTGTAACAAAATCTTTTCCTTGTGAACACATGTTTAAAATCTGGTTTAATTTTAAATAAAAGAAGAACACAGTTAACAAGAAAAGTAGAAAAACTTGTTTTTAAATGTCAATTTAGACGGTTCGCGATTTAATAATAACGTGTAATGTAAATGTAAGTACTATTTGTATTGTTTAATTTATTTTTCAAGTTATAATAAATATATCCTTCGTTAGGTTCTTTCACTTCAATACTTATACACATAAACGATAATAGCCAATATGTTTGTGTACTCGCTAATTTGAATCAACTAGTTACAGTTTACGAAAAACGGTTCCGATAAAAATTTAAAAAACGGGAGGACCCACCTCTAGTTTTTTAGGTATATTAGGATCGGAACCAGAGAATATGTAAAATATCTCTGATCGGAACTATTCGTCTCACTAATGGCCAATAGGTGTTAAAAATATTTGAGGAGGGGAGACCAAGGGGAAATATGATTGTTATCTTTGTCTATTCGCTGAAAATATGATTTTATATCTGCGTTAGATATCCTGTTAAATTTTACCATACCGACCATAAAATTTTTCCTACACTGTATATATATATATATATATATATATATATATATTATATTATATATATTATATATATAATATATATATATATATATATAAATATATATATATATATATTTATATTATATATATATATATATATATATATTTATATATATATATATATATATATATATATATATTGTTATGATATGTAAAATCGAGAAAAATATTGGTTTGTTTAAAATATTTCAAAGTTCAAAAACATTAAATAATTCAGATAAGTAGGATAATAACCAACAAACATTTCGAAGAAGGAAAGTCTTTAAATTTTTGGATTACCTGTATTAAACAAAATGTAAGTTATGCATAAATTATTTTCTTTGTTAGAATATACTTGAGTGACCCGCATAATTTTAAGTGAAATCTAAAGACAATTGAACCGGGTTTTTCCAAATACATTAAGCAGTGATTAAGGACAATAGAATAGATTTTAGAAAGATAATTTTTGTTAGTTTTTAAGAATCGTAGAAAAATATTGATTTGTAAATAAGTTTTAGGAAATTTTATAATTATAGGTAAAATTTTGTTTGTTATCGAAATGAAAAATGGGAGAATTGTGACGAGCTTTGATTGGCGGAGATTGAAAAAGGTGGGATAGGTATGTAGGAATGAAAGTTTAGCTAGATTTTGGAGAGAGAAAAGATAGTCAGTTGGTTTTCCAAGTCTGTAAGACGAACAGTGATTGCTCTCTGGCGGTTCCCGAGAGGTAGCAAGCAGTAGTGTTGAATGTTAGTGAGTTTTTGTGGAGTAAGTGTATCTGACAGAAGCTGAAGCAGCAAAATATTGTAAGTCATATTTTTCTACTTATATTCCAAGAGTCACTGTTCAGGCCAACGAGAGACTCAGTTTATCGTAAAGAGAAGATATTCCAAGAGTCATTTTTCACTCGTGCCAACGAGAGATTCAGTTTATCGAGAGGAGAAAGGCTATCATAATTTGAATGATTCGTGCTTTTGAAGGAGATCATAAAGGACGATATACTTGCAACAATTTGTTGTAAGATTGCTGATTACCTTATTACTGATTACTTACTTACTATGCTGATTACTTATTCTAACATTTAATGGCCTTGATGATTCACCTAAATAAA